TCCCACTCGGCGAAATTCGGGCCATGCGCGAGTGGTCACTGTGCGAGGAGTGGACCGCGCTCATCTGGCAAACCATACCGGGAGGCGGTCGGCCGCAGGGGGCCGGGCCCCGGAGCCATGGAGAAAAAGGATTCGGGACCCAGGGTCGGCGGCGAGCGAGAGGGGTAAAGGAGAAGGAGAAGGCCTTCTCAGAAGCCCTGCGGCCTTCTGAGAAGTTTGCTGCATCTTCGGGGAAGGCTCAGAGAATGTCCCAGAAGGCTGGGGGACATCCGAGCCTTCTGAGAATGCCCGCCCTCTCTCACCTCCCCTGGGCTCGCCGCCAATTTGGCGTCCCTCGGAGGTTTTTCGCCGTGTTCGGCCTCTGGGGGCCCTCGCTGGGCCCCGGGACCGTCAAACAATTACTCAGGATGAACACCCGTCCCGGAGAGAGAAAGGGTCGAGGTTTCGGGGCACCGCGTCTCGAAAAATCAGGGCGTCGCATGTCTGGGGATGGATCGTCGGTCCCGGGGGATGATGGGTCGAGACCTTGGGGTCCACGTTGTGAAACGAAACATGATCGCGCGGGTCTGGGGGGGCAGGGGCGACGCTATAGGGTGGGCCGGCTGAGGAGGGGAAGCATCGACCTGGACTCGGCGATACGTCGCCGGCAGCTGGTCGGCGATTGGGCGGGGGGGGGGGGCTACCGGGCCGCTATCGGTCGATGCGTCCCCGCCCCCGCCTGGCTGAGAAGGGGAACAAGGGCTCCCAGGAGGGCGCGAAGTTATTCGCGCTTCGCGCTTCGCCGTCCTCCTTCCTCCTCCCCCTCCTCCTCGTCCTCCTCTTCTCCCCCTTGGGGGGCGGCGCGAGGGCGCGAAGTTATTCGCGCTTCGCGCTTCGCGGAGCGCGAAGCGCGAACTTAGGAGCCCTTGGGGAAACTTCTACCTGGACTCGGCGATATAATATACCGCTGGTAGGCTGGCGATGGGCGGGGCGGGGCTGCCGGGCCCCTGGCGGCGATTTGAACGGGCGACGGGGGGTCGATGCGTCCCCCGCCCCCCTGAGCGTAGGCCCCCCCGAGCATGGCCCCTGGATCGAGGATCGAAGATTCGGGGGAGCGTAAGACCCGGGTTTGCCGGGACTCGGGTTCGCCATCGTTTTTTGACGACCGCGCCTCGGATTTTGACGAGGAGGAGTTCGTGGGATGTCTGCAGCGGGAGGCCTCGTCAAAATGCAGGCTCGGCCTCGTCATTTTTTTGACGACCTCGTCGGGGATTTCCGAGTCCCCCGTACCCGGGTCTTACGTCTCCCCGAAAGATGAGGGTCGGTTCGGTTCGGTTCGTCGGTTCGGTTCGGTCGAGGGCAATGACTGTCCGAAGAAGGAAACGGAACCAAACATCAAAACCTTACCCTTCGGAGTTCCACGCGAATTTCTCGAAGCGCCGCTTGGCCGCCCTGGCCCGCTCCGCGCGCCAGGGAGGTGAATCTAGTCTAGCGCCTATCCAAGAACTCTGCGCGGCCTGTCGAAAGTTCGAAAGCGTTTGTTTACGGAGTATCTTGCCACTGTAGGCAAAGATGCCCGCGATTCGGTCGGTTTGGCTGTTGCGCCGCTGCGTCTTCTTTCGCTGGCTTTGGTGGGTTCGGTCGGTTTCAGTTTTGCTATCGGTGCGATTCGGTTTTTTCTTGTGGTGTCGCCTTGGACGTCATTGTCGAGGATCGCGATCCAGGTTCAGGGTTTTATGATCGAGGTTCTCTGGATGTTCTTGGGGCCTCATTTGGTGTCCCTGATGGCCTCCAGGGTCCTCCAGATCGGAAAGATCGAGGAGGAAGGATCGAGGTCAGAGCATCGAGGTTCGTGGATGTTGTTGGGCCTCGGTGAACCATGCCTCCGAGGGCAGCGGGTGACCTCCAGCAGGATCGAATGATCTAGCACAGGGGAGACCCACGCCAAGAAACACCTGGCTTGCCTCCAGCGTGCCCCCGGTTTTTTGGGGTTTCGATGGTTTTGCTGCGGAGAGCGTGACGTTCACACGACAAAAACCCATGGACGTCCTGGGGTCTCAGGGGTGTTTTTTTTGTGGAAGGCTGCGCTGCTCGTGGTCTGGCCTCCGCTGCTGCGGGGGCGGAAGTCGAGGTCCGAAGGATCGAGCAGCCGCGGCCGCTGCTCGAGGGCTGATCTTCTCGGACGCACTCTGGCGTTCGGAGTGATGGGCCTGGTTTCCACCACCACCACAAGTTGGAGGGGGAAAGGAGGAGGAGGAGGAGGAGGAGGACGAGAAGGAGGACGAGAAGGAGGAGGAGGAGGAGGAGGAGGAGGAGGAGGAGGAGGAGGAGGAGGAGGACCCCCTCCCTCTCCTACTTGTGGTGGTGGTGGTGGAAGACAGGCCCAGCACCGAGAGCCTCCCGCCGCCCGGGAGCCGAGCGGTGGCGAGTGCTCCGTGCAGTGTGCTCTGGGGTCTTGCGGGCACCCCTCCGGGTCGCCCCCGCCGCCACGGCTGGGGCTGCTCGGATGTTTCAGTCCCGGAGCCCGCTCCGGGACAGGAGTGGTCCGGATGCAGCTCCTGGGAGGTCAAAGTCTGTTTTTGCCCTTGTCCGAACTCCGGCTTAATCCGGCTTCATCCGGCTCAATCCGGTTCAATCCCTTTTCATACCGCGTAATCCGGCTTAATGCGAGGCCCACTCCGACATCACCGCCCCCCAATCGAGTTTAACCTTATTTTAATCTTTCCCACGCAAACCTCCCAGTAGTTGCCTCCTAACAGTTGAAACCCGTGCCAAGAAAGACCCTGCTTGCCTCCAGGGTGCCCTGGGTTGCTTGAGTTTCATTGGCGTTGTTACGGAAAACGTGGAGTTCCCGCACTCGAAATCGAGGGACGTCATGGGGTCTCAGGGTTGGATTTCTTGTGCAAGGTTGCGTGTGGTCTGGCCTCCACTGTAGGGCCGCCATGATCGTCGTGATCGTGTTCGTCGTCGCCGCCGTCTTCGTCTTCGCCGTCGTCGTCGTCGTAGCCGTCTCCGCCTTAGCCGCCATCGTCGTCATCGTCGTCGTCGTCGCCGTCATTGTCGTCCCCTGCCCCCCCCCCTCCTCCTTGCCGCGGGGGTTGAAAGGGGAGGGAGCGGGGTGGGGGGAGAGGGCAGTGGTAAGATGAGGAGGAGCAGAAGGAGACGTGAGAGGGAGAGAGGTGGGCACGTCGCTCCACGGCCTACAGCTTCGGGCACACACGCAGGTGCCTGCCGCAAGCTCCATCACAGTGCCAGCGCAGCATCGACCTTGATTATCTTTCATCACCTCCATCACAATTTCGCCAGCTTTCCACCACGGTCCCATGCGTGGGCCATGCGGAAGGATGTGGGAGCCGTCTTGGGCCACGTTGTGCCGTTCAGGGGCGTCTGGCCGGGCCCTGTGCGGTCCCCGGGCCGTGATTTGGGCCCTCTTGCGTCCGTTTTGGGGGGACCAGTTTGGGGGCACCTCGAAGGCAAATGTCACTCGAAAGAGGCATTCGAAGTAGCTCTGGAAATGTGCGTTGCTAAAGGGCAGACATTGTTTGCAGTGGTCAACCGTGCTGCAGACGTGCCGCTGTACCTCTCCGCGAGGAGTTGCTGGAGTTCATAGACAAGCAGAATTGCGCGCCGATCATGGTGCTCCCCGTCTTCAACGGAGAGTAATGCTCTCGCCGACGGCGCTTTTCCCAAGCTGTGCGAACGTGTATATCCGTTGGTGTGTGTGTGTGGGCCATGTTGCATTTCGAACTTGCTAGCGGTGCTTCCATCATGCAATGTATCAGCCCCCTTCTCAAATCCTCACAATGTGAGCGCATGTGTGACGCACTGTGTCCTAAGCAGGGCATGTGTTAGGTGTAATAGTTTACTTCTGCTCCCCAATGCCTGTCTGACTCCGCCGCTTTGCGGTATTCCCGAGTTGTCTGTTGCCTGGGTTCCTGAGTTGTCCCACGACTTCGTCTCTCACGCAGTTGGCGCCAGTTCTTCGACGGGGTTTGTATTGTCGCGGGGTGGGAAAAAAGAGAGAGAGAGAGAGAGAGAGAGGGAGAGAAACAGACAAACAGAGAGACAGGGAGAGAGAGGGAGAGAGAGAGAGAGAGAGACATGGAGAAACAGAGAGAGAGAGAGAGAGAGAGACATACATATATATATATATATATAATACAAAACAGCAAGCACAATGACCGGACAACGATCGAAACGAAGCGTCTGCCGCGCCTGGCGTTCTGACACGAGGTGGCCAGCCTGGCGAGGTTTCCAACATTTGCCCGGGCTTCGCATCACCGGGATGCCTTCTGGGCCAGTGAGACGCGGGCGGGTGGTCACGGGGGGGTGCCTAAATCGGGGGCGAAGGATAGGGCCCCAAAGAGGCCCTTTTTAGGACCCGTTTTGGAGCCGATAGAGTTGATCAAAAGGGACCCTAAGTGGCCCTTCTAGGGTAATTTTCTTCACCCCCCATTGTGATCACCCCCCATTAACGCCCGCCCGCCCTGGAGATGTGTTTAGGTGGCTGGACTTGTGATGCGCCTTCCGGGCCCACGCGGGAGGGCCCCCACACCTGCCTTGGGCCCGGGATCTGTGCAGGTGTACAGCCGTTGTCGTGCGATTTGCATCGTTCGGCGAAGAATCATCCGCATAAGCAAGACCTCGGTATCGTTTAACCGACCCCCGTCCTTAGGTGAGTCGGTTTGGAAGCTCATTCTAACATACACCGCCTCGGTTCAGTAGCCTCTAGTGGCCTTCAGCGTGTTACGAGCGGCATCCAGTGTTCTTCCATTGCCTTGAGCAGCCTCTAGTTGCCTCTAGCGTCCTTTAGCAGCATTTCATGGCCCTCAACGGCCTTTTGGTAGCCTCACAGAAGTGCAAGGATGTGTATGAGGGGTTTTGATCTCCCAGAATGGCCCGCTTAACTAGGGTTCATCGCAGACCCAAGACTTCCGCGCGCAGCTCCGAAAGCTTAGGTACATGCACTGCTGAGTCTTCCACCCTCTCCCAGTGTGGGTGGCAGGTACGGCTCGCATGGCATGACAGCGGTAACTACGATAAGACCAAGGAGCGGCGCCCCTGCCCGCTTTCCGTTGACACCTGTCGGGTGTGTATAGGTCGGGGGTCGGAATCGAGGGGTAATGTTAGCAGTAGCTGCAGGTTTAATGTAGCAGCCACAACGTCGTAGCAGGTAGCAGGGTGTAGGTAACAGTGACAAGCGGAACGTGCAAGTTGTAGCCCAAAACGTAGTGCACCATTCTGGTTGTGTGTGAATGCGGGTCGATGTGTCGGACAGTAGTTGCCAGCAGCCATCTAGTAGTATTGTTGTTGCCCCTGCTTGTGCTGGTGCGGGTGATGCCTGTAGCTGGCAGTAGCGGCAGGAGTTCGCAGGAGAAGGGAGAGGACGATGAGGAGGAGGAGGAGGAGGAGGAGGAGGAGGAGGAGGAGGAGGAGGAGGAGGATAGGCCGCAGCGTTGGTCCCGTCCCCCCCCTGTCGTCGCGTCGTTCCGTGGGCTTGCCCCCGAGCTCCGTCGCGCCAGCCGGGCAGAGCTTGCCGAGGGAGCCCCACCGCGTTTTTTGGGGGGGGCCAGGCAGGGTCGGGGCTCGAGGATTCGGGGCTCAAGAGACGGGGGTCAGTGCAAACAGGGGTCAGCCAGGGCACCAGATTCTGCAGGATCCTGCGAAGACCCCCTCTGGCTGACCCGGGTTAGCGAGCCGCTCGTGGCCGCGAGGCGGCCGCGCATATTGGCTGACCCGATTTTGCGAAGCCTTGCCTCGCAGTTGTTGTTTCTTGCACTGCAGTTGTATCGGTTCTTGCTGACCCGGGTCTGATTGACCCGGACTAACAGATCCCCGAAGGACACGTCGCTGCAGAACACGCGTTCGGTTGCTCCTTTGTCTGGGCCTCGGGACGGAAGGGGGGCTTCTCCGCACCGCAGCTCGTGCAGTCGGCGCGCCTGGGCCCAGATGGGCCTAGCCAGGGGCAGCGAAGATGTATAGATTCCGCCGCCCTATCAAAACACACGCGCAGACACGCACACACACGCACACACACACACACACACACACACACACGCACGCGCACAGAGGGCTCTGGGGGCCGATGCTGGTATCTAGGGGCCCAGAGTATATCCAGCGGCCCGAAGGCATCGCGGCGGAGGACCTTCGCGCAAATGTTCGGTGCCTGGAGGCCGTTCCCCCGTCCCAGGGAAAGGTCGAAGAGGATCGAGGAGGAGGAGGAGGAGGAGGAGAAGGAGGAGAACGAGGAGGATCGAGGAGGACGATCTGGGAGGGGCTGGAAATCCGAGGATCTAGGAGGATTGGGGATGAGGAGGGTGATCGAGGGCTCCAGGTGCCGATGATTCGAATAAATCTGTTCGTGCGAGGCCTGAACAGAGGGATGAAGTGGAAGTTTGCCTGGAGTTTTCGGCTGCGTCCGCAGGACTGCGGTGGCTCTTCAAGGGTCCAAGAAGCAAAGCACTTGGAGGGCACCCCCTTTTCGTTAGATGTTCGTTTAGGGGACCTTTCTGGGGACCACCCGACGGATCTGTTCAGCTCTAGCTCGACTCCAGTTCGACTCAAGTCGACGGACGCTCGACGCAGGACTGACGCATAAGTAAAGCGAGTGGTTCCAGAGATGTCCCCTTACTCATTGTCCTCGACGATTGCATCGCATATCGCGTCGTTCGTTCCGCTGGCCCAGACGATGCCATCGCGGGCGTTAGATCACGTGTTCGTTGCGGCGTTGACGGGTGGTTTTAGTTGTCTTGAAGTCTTGCGCGACAAGTCATAGGAGTCTCGTGGCAGAGGGGTCGAAATAGTTGTCGCGTTCCCCCTCTCGTGTCCCTCTTGGACTCGCCTTGCGCCCTCTTGGGCCGTCTTGGGAGCCTCGTGGAGGCCCACTGTAGAATCGTTGGCACTTTCATGCGTGCTCGCGGGGGCATTTTTTGGAGCCTCGTGGGGCCTCTTCGGGGCTTGTTAGATGTTCTGGTGCATCCTGGGGGAGGGTACCCTCGAATGTACTTCAGTTCGGCCGGCGGAGGGTCTTATGTTCTTGAAGTTTGTCTAGGCTTCCCAGATGTGGTCGGAGTAGATGGGGTGTCGAAGGATCGCACCGCATCGCCGATGGCGCCGATGCATCGCCAATGCATCGACGATGCATCGGCGATGCATCAACGATGCAGCACGATCCCCAGGCCCCATCTGCTCCGACCCTATCTGGGAGGCCTCTGATGATGTGTACGATCGCGCATTGCAGCAGTCATTATTTACGTTGCGGCATGTTCCCTTGCGGGGGGGGGCCGGGGCGTGGCGAGGCCCGACCGTAAATCTTCAGGAGGGGAAGAAACACACAGACACAATTAATCGTCGACCCCCCAGAAAATAGGTGAAACTATGAGCAGTGATGGGGAAAACGAAAATCCAGAACACATGGGAAAATATGGGGAATCCTGTTATTTGTGTGTATTTATATGTGTGTGTGTGCGTGTGTCCCAGGGCCCCTTCAAATCTGGACGTCACGCCAGACGGAACTCGCTTGCACGCCGTTTCGGCCAAGCGCGCTGCTTGGCAAGACGGCGGGTCGCGGGTGATGCCATGCAGGCAGTTCTGCCTGGGTCTAAAGGACAACAGTCCCTTGGCATCAGACGAGGTAGTCAACATCATGTATACGACTGCGTACAGTTCAAGGCAGCATTCGCCAGCTCTGACGGATCTGCAGGCTGTAAGGCAACGAAGCGGTTACGGAAGATCCAGGCGGTCGTGGCGCCATTGGGACGTGGACGGTGAATCTGATATTCTGGGTCCGCCGTCGTCGGCGTCGCCGTCGAGGCCACCAGCCCGCGGCCAGCGGGCCGGACAAGACGCCTTTGACCATATCGTTTGATCGCCTTTGCCCGATTCGATGTTCTCAGCCGCTTGGCAGCGTCAGACAAGCTCCAGGTACAGCCAAGACGCTGAAATAAGGAACGCCTCGGGTGCGGAAGGGGCTCGCTGTTCCTTAAGCTCTTCCATGTCTCCTCCTCCATCACTCCTCGTGCACCTAGGCGCTTCTGGGGCCAACAAGGGGCTTCGTTCCTTATTTCGCGTTCCTTCTGATAGTGCCTCGACTGTAGCACCTCGCCAACCCTCCAGGGGGCTCGGAGGCTGCAGCGAGGCGCAGCCACGCGAGCGGCCGGGGGCCCCCGCCGCAGCGCGCCGCGCGCAGCGCGCCGCAGGAGGCGTGGCCCGACCGCGGAGGAGCCAACGCGCCTCCGCTCGGCGGCCGCGCGCGCGCTGGCGCGCTCCCTGTGCGGGGGCGTTTCCGCTTGGCAGCCGCGGTTTGCCTGCGCGGGCAGGACAAATCCCGCGTCGGAGGGCTACAGGCGAGGATAAGGGGGGGGGGGAGGCGAAGTGCAGAGGAGCACAAAGTCAAGCGAATGATTCGATCCCAGGTTTCCAGGGTGAGGCGGAGGAGGAGGAACATGAAGAGGAGGAAGGGAGGAGAGGAGGAGGAGGAGAAGGAGGAGGAGGAGGAGGAGAATAGGAGGGGAGGGGGGCACTCCTCTTCCTCCTCCTCCCCTCCTCCTCCTCCTTCCGCCTCCTCCTCTTCCTCCCTCCTCCTCCTCCTCCTCCTCCTCCGCCTCCTTCCTCTCCTCCTCCTCCCCCCCCTCCCCCATCCTTCCACCTCCTCATCCTCACCACCACCTCCTCCTCTTCTCCACACCTGCTTCTCATCCTCCTCCTCCACGTCATCCTCCTTCTCCTCCACCCACCCCCCCTCCCCCCACCACCACCCCCCCTCCTCCTCCTCCCTCCTCCTCCTCCTCCTCCTCCTCCTCCTCCTCCTCCTCATTCTCCTCCTAATCCTCCTCTCCCTCCCCCTTCCCCTTCCCCCTCTCCCTCCCAGGGTTCCAGTATCGCCGAGATTCCCACACGGGCTCCGGAAACGACGGCTGCCAGGCATCCTGAGCCATTCCTATCATGACATAATTCTCATCCTAGAAGGTTCCAGGTTCGAGGGTTCGGGCGTTTTCATTTGTTCGTGGGCGTGTCCAGCCTCGAGATGCCCTTCAGCAGGTGCCCCTCGCCGAGAGCGTTCCAGGGGTGCCCAGATCGTCCCGAGCGGCTGCCCGAGAGCCGAAGTATGGCCCGAACGCCGAGGCCAGCCAGCGCAACGTTCGGGGGGATAGCTCGGGGGGGGACGAATCGACCCCCTGCAGAGAAGACCCATGCCAAGAATCACCATGCTTGCCTCCAGGGTGCCCTTCGTTTCTTGGGTTTCGATGGTTCTGCTATGGAAGGGGCGACGTTCCCACACCAATCATCGATGGACGTCCCAGGGTCTCTGGGTTGGGTTTCTTGTGGAAGGTTTCTTGCGGACTGACCTCCAGTGTGTCGCCCACTGATCGCCGGTAGGGGCCCGATAGCCCACCCCGCCCAGGATCGTGCGGCTTCGCTATGAAGGGCCATTCGCGGATCTGTCGGCGATGTACCGCCGGGGTCAGGGCGATGCGTTCCCCCCTGGGAACCAGTGCTCCCCTTTTGTTCCCTCCGCCAGGGCTCCGATACCTCAAGCGCTTTCTCTATATATTGTTTCCTCTCGCTATTCGGGGCCTTTAGCGGATCTGGCGGCGATGTATCGCCGATGCCGATGCCGATAGTAAGGATGGGTAAGTGTTCCAAGGGTACCCTTGCATCCGTACCTCTGTGGTCCATCATTGATTGCTTTCGACGGCCCGCCTCGCTCGGGAAAGCTTCAGCACGGGCGTCCAAGGGGTGTGTGCATCGTGCTTCTCGTGCATCCTTGATTTATGATGTTCCAACCTACTGTAGCCTTGACCACCGGAAGGATTTTCGAGCACCAAGAAAGTACCGAAATTGGAGGGTCCTCACGTGTCGGGCCCTCGGAGGCGATGCTCGTTCGACCCTGTTTCGGTACCTGTCTGGGTGCTCGAAATTGTTTCTGGGATGCGGTCCGTAAGTGCGATGGGAACAACCTAATCCTTACTATCAGCTCTGACTGCACCGCCAGATGCCAGGGCGATGTCTCCCCCCCATC